GGGGAGAGGGGGAGGGGAGGGGGGAGTGTCCCTGGGGGTCCTAAGACCGGCTTCCCCACTGAGGCTGAGTGACAATAACAAAAACTGTGAGCCCCGAAACACAAGGAGCCCGGATTAGAGCATCTCTCAGGAACCAGTTTGTTAGTCAATCTCACAATACTCTGATTCATACTTGCATGTGTGAGCTATGACACAGGGGTTTGAATGGCGAAAGCTCTAGAAAGAAATTGATTCCAAGGCCAGAGGCTGAGTTGGCAACGTGAGGAGATGGCGCCCCCCAGTGTCAGGATGATGCTTCGGAAACCTGGACCAGGCTGAGCGCGCACAGTGGCCTTTATGCTTCAGGGTAGGCAAGACCGCTGCAGAAGGGGCGGGAAGGTGCCCGTGGCCGGGGAGGGGGACCGGTTCCCGCAGTACCTGGTTCTCCCTCTGTCGCCGTCCAGGTCCCGGCTCTGTGCTGCAGACCCATCTAATGCAGCTTTCTCCAAAGACTCAAAAATATCACCAAGCCATTTTCATGTGTTTTATTCACTTTTTTTCTGTAGTAGATGCATCAAATCCCGAGGATAGACAGTTTAAAATCATATGGTCTCAGCACCTGGAGTCCCACTGTCAACAATTTTTCTTGTTCAAAGCCAGATCAGTTCCAGCCCAGGGGCCTCTGCTGATTGGCAGGACTGGCCTCAAACCCTCTTTAACGCCATAGACATGTGTAGAAAGCTGCCAAAGTCACTTTACCATTCTTAAGGTTTAAATGGAAAGACAAGCTACATATGAAGTTCTAAATCGGGGCTGCCAGCCTGGGTCCCCAGGACAGCAAGTGGCTCTGGTCTGCTGTAAAGGATCCGTGTACAGTTCTCAAAATAAACTTGGAGGGGGAGAGAACTAAAATAAAGAGAAAACTGATGGAAATTCACTCCAAGATAAACAAATGTACGAATAATGCAAAGACTTCCCAGGTCCTTTCAGTGTAACAGAATGTGTAGGGAAAATCTTAACATCCTTTGCCCTGAAGATAACATCCTTAGTAAGTATTCTGCAAAGCTCAAGAAAATGTTCCCTGGGCTGGTGGAGTCTAGTTCAAGCTAATCTTGGAAAGAAATCTCAGAAGTCCTTTGGTCCAACTTTGGAGCCTGGTCCCTCATGGAACTCATCAACTTGAAGCATTGCCCGGCAGGTCAGAAGCTGAGCATTATCAGAAGCTAGAGTGGATGGATCTCTTCTTTACTGGGAACATAGTTAAGGGACAGGATCATGGTATCCCCCCCTTTTTTTCTTCTGATTATGGTAGCGACACGTGCTCATTATAGAAAAATACAGAATGTGGTTTGGAATTTTTTCCTCAGTGTCATTAAATATTTTTCTATGTCACTAAATACTTTTCGAAAATTTCATGGCATCAGCTGCACAATGTTCCATTTTTAAAACCATTCTTTTATGTTCAGACATTTGTTTCCAATTTTTTGCCATTTTAAAGTGAGTGCAGTGAACATTTTGCATATTAACCTTCATCCAGATTTCTGAGTTTTAGAAGGTTCTTTCTGGGTCAAGGGGAAAATCACTTCATTTTTTAAAACATATGCAATTGAGGGTCTCATGACACCACGCTGCTGGTTTTCATGACAGCATATGGTGCCTTTACAGAGAAAATAAAATGGTGAGAAATATATTTGTTTTGAATTGAAAATCAGCCTAAAACAAAAAAGCTGAGATTTGATGTCTGGATTTCACTACCACTGTAGCCCTGGACTGTGGACTTGGGCAAGTCCCTTTGACTCTGTCAGCCTCAGCTGTTAAAATAACTATTTTTTAAACAATCTAAGTTTGTACAGGAGGAAAGCTCTATAAAAGTAAAGTGCTGGGCTTCCCTGGTGGCGCAGTGGTTGAGAGTCCGCTGGCCGATGCAGGGGACGCGGGTTCGTGCCCCGGTCAGGGAAGATCCCACATGCCACGGAGCGGCTGGGCCCGTGAGCCATGGCCGCTGAGCCTGCGCGTCCGGAGCCTGTGCTCCGCAACGGGAGAGGCCACAGCAGTGAGAGGTCCATGTACCACAAAAAAAAAAAGAGAACCAATTCCTACCATGGAAAGGAGATCTGCGTCCATAAGAAAAGAGCTCAAGCACGTGGGATGGCAGCTGTGTCAACTGAGAGAAAGCTCAAGGAGCTAAGGAAAGAAAATGAGCACAACAGGAAGATGCTGGCCGAGGTCGAGCCAAGTTCCAGCCTTTCCCAAGGGGCCCTGGTGTTCCTGAGGCACCACTCACAGCCCACAGGGGCCCCAAAGTGTCAGGGGATGCCCTGGGTCATCAGGCTTCCCAGGAAGCAGGAGAGTCACGCTTTGAGGGCTCAGGGATCTGAGGTCACCTGCAGGTTTGACTCAGTTTCCCCAGCCGCTGAGTTCTGAATACTCAGAACCACAGCACAACATCTGCATATGTTTTTCTCTTTAAAGTTA